TACTAAGGCGTATAAAGTACACAGCACATGAACTCTGGCGTACATGCCACCTTAAGAGAAGTCTATCGAATGCAAGTAGGCTTTTCGGATCAAAAGCGATTCATGTGTCAAGATCAAAATTTGCAAGGGGCTGGGTCGCAAAGTAATACACGTAGCGTCCTGGAATCACTTTTAAAGAAAGTAATGTTTTGGTGGCGCACAAAGTTAGTTAACGCAATATTTGTGATTGCACCGGCGCAAGACTTGGTCGTGAGGGGCATCTCGCCGTCGATACCGAATATTGCTAATCTCACGATGAAGAGTAGATCCACATAGATAAGAGCTATACAGCCAAAGAATTATGACAAAGCAGTTTTTGCTGCTGTATAGTTGTAAGTGATCTTTATAGATCTTAGTGAAAGGAAGTCTTACAAATCTTGAAGTTACTTAGTTTTACGGAACTAATTCATTGTTAGGTTAAAGATTCACTAGTTCTTAGAGCTAATTTACAAAGACTCGGAGAAACTTAAGCTCGTAGAGCTTCTAGTCCTGGTGCAGGGGACTATAAACAACTACAGGAATTGCACGCACAGTGTGATCTCAGGTGAACGCCTCAAGCTGGATTTTAATCTTAATGATCTACTGATGGCCAAAAATAGACATGCGTCCATTTAAGATTCAATGTCATTCAAAGCACTAACACTAAAGTTTAATAATTTGCACAATAAATTCGATCTATGTAAAAAATTGTTGGATTGCACACCATCTTTCGTTATGTGGATGAACGAGGTTTTTAAAAAATACTAAAAATCACAGATAAAACTTGGGGTTGCATATCAGATATACAACGTACATTTCTAGATGGCGGTAACTGTCGTGTGACCCTGTTGCAGTTGGCACACGTCTCTTCAAAACAAATTAACTCAATACCGTAATCGATAGAATATTTTTACTGGCTCAGTGTCAGATTATCATAGTTAAGGCTGAGTCAGCCATTATTCTAGTCACATTCTTTGTACTGTCAACGGCCGTTTCAATCTTATTAATGCACGTAGATAAGGATGGCCCACGTAGTATTATTCAGATTTTGACAAAATCCCGAATCAAGTTTAAAATACATTGACGACGGATTGCCATTTAAAACCCGTCCCTTGCTGCCGCGAACATAAGTCCTGATTGCATCCTAATAATAGCACGCTCCCTCTCAATTTGGATCCTGACAGCTCCTACTTTTCTTTGGTTAGGCAACCTAAAGGCTTTTCCCACCAACCATAAATCGCACAAAAGCATCAATGTTTACAGTACAATCGAACAATCGAGACGATCAAGGCGAGCAAAACGCTTAGCTGTGGGTACATTTAACCGCTCATCGTCAGCTGCGTGCGCTTTATCGAGAGATAAAAGGTTTCATGCTCTAAGTGCAGATCACCACGTCCTTCAGGACGCGTCATCAGTATTAAAAAATGCGCGTGCGAGTTTCACGATCACTCGGCGGCCTTTGTTGCCCTTAACATCTTGTATGATAAAGTTGTTGTTACCTGGGCGTACTTCCGTAGTAGTGTGGGCTGGACCTAAGGTTGCTGATATTGAAGCGGATACAGTTATATAAGTGAGGGAGAGAGTACAGCGCATCGAGAGGCCTTCAATCCGAAAACTTATTCTATGTACAGTTTGAAGGCTTTAAGACTTACAACGGGATCACAGAATCGGATAGTATGATCGGTATGGTGTCATGTTATCCACATAATAGGCGTGTTGTTGTGTTAAATACACAAGCGGTAAAATCTTGCCTAATCGATTACGGATAGATGGCATTTTCGTACAAGGTATTGTAAGGGCGTCATTTTTCTGGTGTGATCGCATAAGAATAACCTGTATTAAATTTCTTGGATCAGCTAGCAGAACTTAATCGCTAAATTTGTAGATGGGGTTTATCGTAGCGATAATTAGCTAATAAGTTTACTGCCTTTTCATCATTTAAAGACAAGTGTCGTTCTAAGGAGTCTCTGGTCGTAGGATTTAAGGGTCTTTGTGAATAACCTATAACCCTAAGGCATCATAGCCACGTGACATCTGCAAATCTTTAATTTTCACGAGCAAGGACTAGAAGCTTACGATCTTGATATCATACATAGATACAAGTGTCATTACACCTGCAAAGACTTGAGACCCCTAAATCTTTTACTCGTCTAATTTATACTTCAAAAAGTTTAGAATTTTACAAGTCTTGCTCTGTAAATAGAATAAGAGTAGCTCCGCTACACTTTGTAGTACGTGTGTTCAATATATACCTAAGCCTATGAAAATACTTAGTCTTTGTAAGGGATTAAAGTAAGATTGTCTTCTCCACGCCCGAAGACTAGCGCTTATTGTACTACAAGAACTATTCGGGAATGATCAAGTGCATTTCAGATTTGCACACGGGCTAGACGTGCTTTGTAAATGTTTTTACCCTTTCATGCAGTTGAATCTAATCTTTTTTTTGGACAGGTTAGATATCACTCGGCATTGGTCATGCTAAATCGGTATGTGCCGATACCGGAAGAGAAGCCAAATGCTAGCCCGAAAGAGGAGGGGATTCTTCTTTTGTCGAATCGAGAAGTGGCAATGTATAAAAATAAACCATGCTGCAATCGTTCATACGTCAAATTCGTCTGATCATATCGTAACTTGGCGGACAATCCAGGGAATGGGTTTCCTGGATTATCCGCCAAGTTATGGGTTCTTACGTGTAGAACGTCGGTGGTTAAGGCTTTCCTCACATGGGATATGTAACGGGGTTGCACGAAATTATGGTACGTTGTACCAGAGGTGTTACACACCTGAGGTTACCCCTCTGTGAAGGTGATATAGAATATCTTATTGTTTTGTAGGGGCTGACGAGTGTCAGCCATTAGGTACGAAAGATCTTTGAGTAGGATTAAGACATTCTAAAGGCTTTAACAAAAATAAAATCAGTTCCCATTTTGATCTGAAGGACACGTGGCTTGCGAGCCGTCTTGATCGTTGATCACTGATCACTAAGAGCTAGAGACACCTCCTTGAGGTAGCTACTCTTGAGCACTGAGTGCTGTCGATTCACTGAATCGTTAGGTCCCCTGGAACAGGGATCTGAAGCTGTAAAGCTTGTTGACTCGTAAAGTCGTTAGTTCTTTGGAATTAAGTTGCTCGTAGAGCGTTAAGTCTTCTTCTGACTTAAGGAGCTGTGTAGATCCGCTACACTTGGTAGCACTTGTGGTCAATCTACGCCTGAGTCTTTAAGACTGATCCTCTGTGAGGATGGAAAACTCCACACCCCTATCTGAGGCCCAAAAGGTCGCGCTTGATAAGCTGACCGCATCTTTGGGTCCAGAGTACGTGGAGTTCCTTGTTTCACAAGGTCCTGAAGTGCTTAATGCACGTGTTGAAAGCTTCATGCAGTATGAAGCGACCCTTTTAGGGCAGGTCCAAGACCAAGTAACGTCGGCTATGCCTATACGCTACGTGTCTTAAACAGACGAAGATGCTAAGCCTCGTCCACTTAGAGTGGAAGTAAAAAACTACTCCGGTAAGGAGGGTGAGAACCTCATCCTCTAGATCCGTGAGATCGGCCATGAGACCAGGCCTGATCACTCTTGACCAATAACAGGTCTCGCTGGATATCTCGAAGCTCGATGGTAGAGCTAGAGAATGGGCCTTGACGTGTAGCACGTCGGTGGACATAGCGTTTCCTACATGGGAGTCGCTCAAGTCACAATTTGTACAGGTGTTTTCTCCACCTAACCAGGCTTACCGCGTGCGTTCACGCTTTCTTTCTACCCGCCAGGGTAAGAATGAACTATCGGACTATGTCCAAGAGCTGCGAACGCTCATGGCTGCAATGCAGTCTGACCCTCTGCCTGAAGCAGTCCATGTGACGATCTTCATGGAAGGTCTACGTACTGGCATTGCCAGAACCGAGGTTTTTCGGGTTCACCCCTCTACGTTTGAAGAGGCTGTGAGAACTGCTCTTAATGCTGAGCATAACTTCAAGTCGGCCAGACTTGGTTGGAATGGATACAATCCTCGCTCTGTGGGAGCAAACTATTCGGGTACCACTGCCTATAATAGGCCGAAACCGATGGATCTCAGCTATGCTGAAGATGGAGTTGAAGCTGAGCTTCAAGCTGCTGAGCAGCAACACGTCGTACGACATGCTTTACGTGCGGAAGCACTAAACACTTGCTGCCTGGTTGCACTTTGCGTAAGCAACGCCAGGCTACGAGCCAACACTCGACCCTGAGTCAGAAGTCTGGCATGGCACGGGGAAATGCCGACACCCAGTAGGCGCGGGGCGCCCTACTGGGGAAGAACTAGGTTCTGTTACACCTTTAGAAGGTAAAGGAATGCAGGGCTTAGCCCCAAAGAGTACCATACCTACGGGTATGGTGCGTGGATACAAGTCTGGCTTGTTGGTCGCCGAGGTGAAAATTAAGGGCTTCGAGAAGCCTTGGTCGATATTGATCGATTCTGGAGCGTCTTGCAATTATGCTCGACGCCGTTCCCTTGAGGGAAGTCAGAGTTATGCTGAGGCGCTTACAGCGCATGAGGGTGATTCTATCAAGGTTCGTTTAGCGACTGGAAGTCGCGTAACGGTGCCTAAAGTTCTATTGAACTTAGGTATAAAGTTTTTAGACTTTGACAGTATCGAGCGCTGTCTTGTCCTAGATTTGGACTCGAGATATGATCTCATCCTGGGTATGGCTTGGCTTGAGCGCCATGAGCCATCGATTGATTGGAGGTCCAAGACCTTAGGCGCTACGCGCAATGTTCCTAGCGAAGCTTTGGAGAGTCATGAACCCACCTTTGCTAGGTAACAAAAACGCTACTGGCGCGAGCCTTTGACAGAAGATGTCAATGTGCTAAATATTGGAATGTCTGAGTTATCTAACTCCAATGTTACAAACATAAGTTTCGAGCCTAGCTCGTCTAGAACTAGTGAAACGGCACGTACTCCATTGATTGGTACTCGTTGTGATAACGAGTCACTGCATGCTGAAAGCATGGTTGGCCTAGGGCCGAGTGATAAAGGATGTGGTTCCTTTGATGTGTGTATAGTGGCACGTGAAACTACACCGAGTGTGGTCGGCCGTGAGAGCACCGCACTGAATGTCGGTAATGACATTTTTGGCCACATGTCATTTAGTGTGGGCGGACGTGAGGGCACCACGCTTAACGCCGGTAATGGCGTTGTTGGCGATTCGCCATATAGTGTGGGCGGCCGTGAGGATACCACACCTAATGTCAATAATGACATTGTTGGCGATACGCCGTATAGTGTGGACGGCCATGAGGGCACCACGCTTAACGCCGGTAATGGCGTTGTTGGCGATACGCCGTATACTGTGGGCGGCCGTGAGGGCACCACACCTAATGTCAGTAATGATACTGTTGGCGATACGCTGTATAGTGTGGGCCGTGAGGGCACCACACCTAATGTCAGTAATGATACTGTTGGCGATACGCCGTATAGTGTGGACGGCCGTGAGGGCACCACACCTAATGTCGGTCAAGACAAAAGCTCTCGTAGAGAGCGTACTTTTGTTGGTAGTAACCATGGGGACAATATTGTCCCGACCCCTAAGGGGTGTAAGGTCTCGAAGAGACGATCGAGACGCCGGGTAGCAGCTTTTAAGCGCCAGGCGTCCTCACAGTCACATAGTGATAATAGTAATACACTATGTACACTTGTTAATGGAGTGACTGGTCGGGTTGATGGCAGTGTTTGCCTTGAAACCCTTCCATCCGTGGACGCTCTTTGTGAGCTAGACGAAATGTCGGATGGCGAGCTTAGCCAGGCCTTAAAGGCAGGAGAGTTATCCGAGTTAGCGGTTATTAGACCTGATACTGAGTTAAATTCTTCCTCGTTAATGGATGAGTCTGTCCTAGAGGATACAAAGACGGCACTTAGTGCACGAATTAAATCTTCGATCCTTAAAGATCCTTTGGATCCGTTCTATCCTTTAGTTAAGGAATTTCAAGATGTGGTGTGTCACAACCCACCTTCTGCCTTACCTCCCGATAGAGGTGTACGTCATGAGATTGACTTGGTTCCTGGAACTAAAACCTGTGTGACACGGCAGTGGCCTTTGCCTAAAGAACAGTGTGACGTCATTGACGAATTCTTTTGTGCTAAGCACGCGGCTGGAATGGTTCGTGAGAGTAAATCTCCCCATTCAACACCGACATTTTGTGTCAAAAAGCCAAATGGCAAGTGGCGTATTGTGCATGCTTATAATAAGCTTAATGCAGCCACTACACCGGCTCAGACGCCTATTCCTAGAAAGGATGTTCTTTAGAACAATATGGCAGGATGTACATTGTACAGTGCACTCGACTTAGTCGATGGTTATTACCAACTGCTCATGCGAGCAAGTGATATTCCGCTAACAGCGGTGAGTACTCCGAGCGGTATGCTCTGGGAGTGGCTCGTTATGCCACAAGGGCTATCTAACGCCCCGGCTACATTTAACCGGTTGGTAACGCAACTATTCAGACCTCATCGAGGCTATGCACAAACGTACTTTGATAGCATTTTTGTCCATTGTCGTGCAATGAATGGGCGATCAGATGTGGATAACCACATCAATCATTTACGAGCGGTGCTCGAGTGTATGCGAACGAATCAGTTGTATGCGACCGCATTGAAGTGCATCTTTGGTGCAGAAGAGATTCCCTTTCTAGGGTGCTTCATTGAGAAGCGAGGCCTTCGATCGGATCCCGCTAAGGTAAAAGCCATAGTCGATTGGCCAGTCCCCAAGAACCAAAAGGACTTGCGTAAGTGGCTTGGCCTTGCCAATTACTTACATAAGTACAGTGCGAATTACGCAGATATGGCTCGGCCATTGTCCAATCTCCTTGAAAGGATGTGGATTGGTGTTGGAGTAACACCGAACATGATGCGTTTGAAGCCGTTAAGGAAAGTCTCCTTCATGCGCCAATATTGCCTTTGCCCGATCCTGATTGGCCTTTCAGTGTCTTCTGTGACGCATCTGACTTTGCCATAGGCAGTGCTCTGTTACAAACAGATGTCGATGGACGCGAACGCGTCATCGCATTCGAGTCTCGACAGCTGAAAGCTGCCGAAAAGCACTATCCAGTTCATGACAAAGAGCTACTTGCTATGAAGTACGCTTTAGCCAAATATAGAGTACATCTGCTTGGCTCCAAGCCGTTTGTGATCGATACAGATCATGCGTCATTACGCACTGCGGCACAGTCGCCTCATCTCTCACAGAGAATGGCTCGTTGGCTTTCCTTCTTTGCCGAATACAACTTCGAGGTGAAGTACAAGCCAGGTAAGCAAAACGATTTGGCTGATGCGCTATCGCGTAGACCTGACTATGAGCTTGCTCATGTTACGACTCTGTCGTCGTCGGTCACTGACTTAATCCGTGCGGCATATGCCAAGGATGAACAGTGTGTAGCTTTGCTACGGGCTCTTGGGAGCGATGAGTTTAATGACTCGGACATAGAATTGTCGGCACGCTTACGTGCGAGGCTACATCGATATTCCATCGATAATGGCCTGTTGTGCTATCGCACGGATATTGAGGACAACCCTCGCATCGTTGTACCTCATGATAAGGAATTAAAGTATCGGATCCTCTATGAGGCACATTATACTGCTTTAAGTGGTCATCTCGGTCGTGAAAAGACTTATAGCTCGGTGAGCCAAAGTTATTGGTGGCCCAAACTTTACAAGTGGGTGTGCACCTATGTGCGTACGTGCGAAACGTGTCAACGGGTAAAACCATCAGCACATGCGGCGGCGCCGCTGGCTATTTTGCCAGTACCCACCGGTTGTTGGGAGTCCATGAGCATGGATTTTGTGTTCGGCCTACCGAAAGATTCGGAAGGCAACACTGGTATTGTGGTCTTTGTTGACCGATTGATCAAGATGGCTCACTTAGCGGCTGTGCCGGATAGCATCGATGCTGAAGGTACAGCAAAGCTGTTTATCGACCGTGTGTTTCGCCAACATGGCTTGCCGGTGGCAATTATCTCTGATAGAGACCCCCGCTTCACTGGGAAGTTTTGGAAGTCTATCTTCAAGGTGCTTGGCACTCGGTTGGACATGTCCACAGCGGATTATCCGCAGATTGACGGTCAAACTGAGCGTTAAACCGCGTCATCAATAAATTTTGCGCAGTGTTTGCGCTGGTACGCCTAGGCGTTGGAGCTCAATGCTCCCTGTTGTTAAGTTTGCGTTGAATAACGGTGTTCATGCCTCAACAGCCTTTAATCCGTTTTACATAAACGGTCTCACTCACCCTCGCGTTCCTTTAACGCTATCACTACGTGAATCAGGGCTTGGTGGGGGAGAGGTTGCCGATCGGCTTGCTGATATCAGCCCTGCTACTGTTCAAAAACAGGTAAGCGAGTTTCTCGCAACGCGATTAAATGTCTTAAGACATGTGCGTGACGCAATGGCTGATAGCCAAGATACCCAAAAACAACAAGCTCATGCCAAAGGTAGAAATTGTATTGAACGTTATGAGGTCGGAGACCAAGTACTACTCAATGCTAAAAATCTACCTACAAATGTAGTGTCGGCTGTCTTTAAGACTAAGTTGCGTCCACGCTTTATTGGATCGTTTACGGTCACGGCCAAGAAGGGACTTGCCTATACACACATAACCTTCCACGCAAATTGCGCACACATCCAGTGTTCTACGTAGGCTTACTTAAGCCGTACCGGGATCCTGCCCATGTGAACTTGGAGGCGCTTGCGCCGACGACAAGGACACTGCCCCGGGTTGCTGTAGACGAATCAGCAAGTCCAACTGAGCCTCGCTTCGAGTTTGAGCTTGCTCCATCGCCTGAACGCGGCTTTGCATCGCATCCAGCATGCACTGGGACTTACCCAAGGCCTCTTGAAGACCCTTCACTTCGAGAACCAATTTCTCGTGGGCCTCCACCGGTACACCGGCCGCCACCGACTTTGCTCGATGAACATGGGTGTCGTCAATTTCATGTCGAGAGACTACTGAAACGACGTCATCGTCAGGGCCAATACCAGTTTCGGTAAAGTGGCGTGGGTACCCTGAGTCTGAAATCTCATGGGAATTTGAGTTCCCCCTTCGGCAAGTCTGCCCATTTGCTTTGGAGGCTTTTGAGCATCGTGGCCATGGTCGTCTCGAGGCCGAGGCCGTTCCCCACCACTAGTGGTGCGGGTTGGCGGGTTGTTGGCCACAGACTGACCAGCATTGGCGGCTACCTTAGTAGCCGAAGCATAGCGCGTGCGCTTGCGCAATTGGCCTCTAGCCTTAAGCTTGGCATAATCATACCGAAGCTTGCGTTCAAGACGCACGTCAGCCACACTGGCACTAGCCCTTAGAGCAAAAATGTTGCTGAGGCGACGCACATATTGCACCCAGCAAACAAAGGCACCATCTTCTTCGCTCACTGTTTCGCCTGCGAACAAGAGAATGGGTATACCCTTGATCGGTGGAACCGGTGTACCACGCGCTTGCATGTCAAGGCGTGCCTTGTATTGACTTTGAGTCGTTAGGTGCGGCTCCAGGTACCTCTTGCGAAGTGCCTGGCAGCTCACCACCTCCTCAGGAGTCTTAGTCCCCTGGCCAATGACCCACGTTGCCAATGTTTGGCCGGCCGCTTGACGTAGACCTTCCTCCACACTGGGTGGGGTGAACACATAGTCACGCTGGCGTTCAAGGGTTGTAGCCATTTGTACATGACGCTGAGCGTTTTCTTCTCTTTAAACAAGCATTTGTTGTTGCTCATCGAGCGGGTTCGTGATGATAGTCTTATCAGACCCAGACGCTGCATACTGCGCTGGTGGCGCACTCGCACCTCCACGTTCAGCGAACGGATTTGGGGTATTCAAAGGTTGTGCCTCAGGCATCAGTGAGCCGGACATTGTCCCTGTATCACCGCGGACACTGGTATCGCTACCATAGTCCACCTCCTCCTCTATCCCGAGGTAGTCACACAGAGCCTTTGACTCGTTTGGTAATGAGGACATCGTGCTGGAGCGTACGTTACCGTGAGGTTCACCGTACGTGCACTGTTCTCGCTGAGAACACAAGTTCGATTGACGTTTTGGCAAACGTCAGTCTGGTGGGGGAGGGTTTAACGGGGTTGCACGAAATTATGGTACGTTGTACCAGAGGTGTTACACACCTGAGGTTACCCCTCTGTGAAGGTGATATAGAATATCTTATTGTTTTGTAGGGGCTGACGAGTGTCAGCCATTAGGTATGAAAGATCTTTGAGTAGGATTAAGACATTCTAAAGGCTTTAACAAAAATAAAATCAGTTCCCATTTTGATCTGAAGGACACGTGGCTTGCGAGTCGTCTTGATCGTTGATCACTGATCAATAAGAGCTAGAGACACCTCCTTGAGGTAGCTACTCTTGAGCACTGAGTGCTGTCGATTCACTGAATCGTAAGGTCCCCCTGGAACAGAGATCTGAAGCTGTAAAGCTTGTTGACTCGTAAAGTCGTTAGTTCTTTGGAATTAAGTTGCTCGTAGAGCGTTAATTCTTCTTCTTCTGACTTAAAGAGCTGTGTAGCTCCGCTACAGGATATGTATTAAAGTGAATTCTTTCGCGTGGTTTTCCAGTGTAATCAGGCATTTTAAGATGAGGTACACTTCTTTGCTGCTGGAAAGGCAAAAAATGATTGTCGGAATATGTTTATGATTCGAGAACTATTGCCAATGTCATGCAGCTTCATATCCTACCTAAAAATGGATCTTGTAAATGCCTTCATGGAGCGTATACGTACTGGCGTAACTTTAAAGGGAGCTTCCCGGTTCCACCTACGTCCTGCAAGGCGTGTTCTGGTGTAATACTGAACGATATGTCCAGCTTTGAAATACCTCGCTTTGGCATCTATCCGTTCTCAGGGATGAAATAAATAAATCTCTCCGAGCTCAATTACTTCATTTCCAAGAACGGAGATTATGGACCTTAGTCTCTACGAGAAAGAGGAAGAAGTAGAGCTTTGAGCTGTGGAACAACATTGCAACATTGGACGACGTTACACGTGTAGAAGTACAAGACATCTGTGTCATTATTGTTCTTTACGCAAGGCCCTCCAGGTTTCTTCTGTTCGAGCTTTCATTGTTAACCATAAGTCTGGTACGGCACGAAAGTCGTTGACTCTCTGAAGACACGGGCGCCCTGATAGGATATAAATAGGTTCTGTGGATCCAGTAGGGGGAATTAGTGGTCAGAATTTACCTGCAAACAGTTGTGTGCACTGTAACACGGTAAAAATACCATTTAGTTTTGCTGGTCGCGAAAGCAAATGTCAATGGCTTTAAAAATTCTGTTTATATTTAATTATTAAATCCGGGACGTCCAGTAAATACGTCAAACGGCGTTCCTCGAGGGGCTTCGAATATATGCCGAGGTGATACAGGCGCAAAATGGTGATACGATCATTGTTCGATCAGCAACAGAGATTGTATTCTCTGTACCTGAAGTTCTTGCGACAGTAGGCGTGGAGAATTCCGGTTTTGACAGTATCAAACGCTGTTCAGTCGTCGGTTTGGACTCACGATACAAGTAAACATAGGTATGAATTGACCGACAACAGCCATGGATCAACTGAAACCCAAAACTTTTGACGCAGTGCACACCGCCCCTAGCGGAGCTTTGTAGAGTCATGAACTTGCCTCTGCCAGGAAGCAGATGCGCTGTCGGCGCGAGACACTGGCCATTTCTGTCATTGTGGGGCATTAAAATGTCAAAAAATTGTTGGTCCTGATGATGAAAAGGACATTCGTATTGAGAAAGCTCGTTGCATGATAGTGAAATTCAGTAGCATTTGTTAATTTATATTCGTTTTAATAATGAGTCACTGAATGCTTAGAGCTTCGTTGTTGATCAGATAAAAGTCGTCGGAGGTTCGGCCCTCATATTTGCGTGAGGTAGCCTGTATGTACCCAAAAAGTGACGTTAGATGTGACAGCGTTACGCTCCATGTCGACTGTTGTATTGTTGGTTAGATACTTAGAAACCCAGAGCTAGGCTCAGCAAATTCGTGTGAAGCGGCACGTCCAAGAGATGGTTAGTTTAATACAAGTGAATCGTCATCGGATGTCGGATGACATCGGCTCTCATGCAGAGCCAGGTAATTGTACTGAAAATAAAAACCTTGGAGATACGGAAGCATTTCCTTATTTGACACAACACTAATTGCTGCTATGATACAAGAAGCGTTTGCTGTGTCACAAATTCCTGATGGAGTTTGGCTGCATACACTCGTCATGAAGTGACTGGTAATTATGATATAGTGTCATCTGTAAGTCTTTAACATCGTTAAGTGCCCTACTGGGAATTGAAGATCTATTTGCGGATAATTTGAGTCCATCATCGAAGAGCGGTGACCTTTTTTAGAGTCGGCAGTCATTCTACCTGACGTTGCAGAATATTAATCATCATCGCTTCTGGAAGAGGCTGTTTTTGAGGACACTATATTAGTACTTAGTGCGCATAGTGGATCGTCAATATGGAAAATTCCTTACGGCCAATTTAATTTTTAGTCAAGGAATTCAGGGCGTGGTGTGCCACGGACCACCCTCTTTTTATTTTCAGACTGAGGTGTCGGCAATTCAATTGACTAGGTTCTTGGGAGCAAATGTTGTGTTACGCAACAGTAACCAAAGGAACAATTTGATATCACTGAAGATTTATTCCGTGCAAGTATCGAGGCAGGAATGGTTCGTGAATGTAAATTTTCACCTCTGCGACAACAATTTTTTTCTTTAAAGGGCCTAAAAGTAGGGGGTACTGTGCATGCTTATAACAAGATTAAACGCGCTCACATTATTTATTGCAAAATACGTGAGCTATTAAACGTACTTTTGGCTGTACCTTAAGTTCCTACGTGTACTTTAGAAGATGAATATCTTTCAACGGGACTATAACTTTTCTTGAGTACCCTAAGGTTAGCTACTTTTAAAATTAACTAGTACTTGGGTCACACATCACTCAGTCATTAATGTTTGTTGTGCCCCTGTACCATAACGAATAGAATTATGTGTTACCGTGCCTTCATATTATGGGCCACACTTAATACTACCACAATAGAACATTGTAAAAGGTTTAAATTAGGTACCTTTATGCCGTTTACCAAATCTTTGTGTGAAT